GGAATGCAGCCGCATCCCGCCCAAACAGCGTCAAATTCAACCCGTTGCAGCCCTAAATCTGAGCCAGGGCACGCCATTCCTGCTTTGCTTCCTCACACACTGGACGTGGCTAGAGGCTTTTCGCCACTTGACGGCCTCAGGTTGAGGTCTCTAGAGGCTGGCTGATGCGGGCTGATTACTGCTTATAAGCTGAAACGCCCATGTTGGGCGTCCCTGCTTTTGGTTGTACCGCTCTCTAGGGCATGAGGCACAGGTTGTCGGAGTGTAAAAGAGTTAGATGCAAAGGGCTCGCATTGCGTCTGGGGTTTAGAGGCATAGGCTTTGGATCGAGCAGCGGGCCAGGGCTTTAACGAGGTTAGGCCTATCTGGGGATAAGTGTACAAAACGCTCAAGACTTTCTCGTTTAGAGACCACAGCCTGCTCCTCCATTGCCAGCCCGCTGGGCTTCGAAATGGCATAGACCTCATCATATCAGATAGGGCTATAGTCCCCCTTAGGTAGATAGAATATGGGGTATGTGGGGAATCTTATTATGATATACCAGAAGCCATATTGTATCTACTTAAAGGGGACTATAGATCGAAAGTATGGGCCCAGCTTTGGGGCTCCTATTCCTTTCATACAAGGATCCCGGCGTTTGGGTGTCTGTTACGTAAGAGATCTCAACATCCTAAACCCTAAGCAGTAGATTCCATTTTCTCTTCGATTATCCCAATATAACCCCAATATACTACAGTACTTTCCATTTTATTTTCTATTATCCAATATAGAATCCATGAGCCCAGTCTGGCGTCGCTGTTACGAAGAACATGTTGGTTTTGCTGGTAACTATGGGAGCTACATGTTCAGCAATACCCGAATGTCTTGCTGCTATTCCGCAGACATGTTCAAAACTCATCAGGCTTGTTGGAGGGTAGTTAGCAAGACCCTTCGGCTCAAGAAAGGTGTCGTTGAATATAAGAGATAGGTTTCTCAATATTATACGAACAGGGTGCCAAAATGCCAGAACCCAGGCTATAAGGATACCCGCAACAGGCCTCCTAAGTTTTATCCAACCACAGACATGATTCACAAGGAGACCGCCTCCAAAATTGCTTGTCCAAAGAAATATTATGAAACCCAATGACCTAAACCCTAAACAGTAGATTCCATTTTCTTTTCCATTATCCCAATATAACCCCAATATGGTTTCCTTTTCATTTTCCATTATCCAAGAGGTTCCCTGTAGCTCCTTTTCAGCCTTGTCTGGTTTAGTTGGTGGGGGTTGCCGTTGAACCATCCGGACAGAGGTAGTACGATAGAGCCTCCTACTCGCAAGAAATCAACACGGTAAACATCAGACTCGCTGGATCCTAAATCATGAAGTTAGCTTCCATTTCCGTTGCTTGAATATTACCCCAAACCCTAAGGGTAGCTTCCATGATTCTTCTGTATGACCCCAAGTCATCAAGTTACCTTCCACTTTCCATAAACTTTTAGCCCAGTGACCATGGATCCCAGCAGCTCTTCCGTGGAATTCTCATCCGTAAAGGCTGGCGATTCTGCAGGCGCGTCCTATGATTCTCTATAAAAAAAATTGTGTAGGCTGTAGACCTCATAACTTGCACAATTATCAAGGACCTCAGGGCTTCAGATTTCCTAAGCTAGACGGAAAACAAAGAATCCGGTAAGACGTCCCGTCACGTGTGGGCAATTTGAGGACGACATAATCTTAACCGGAGAAGCCAGTTGAACCGCTTCTGAAACAAGTCAAGTCTCAGGGCATCCCATCAGGAAGAACTTCCACCAGCTCGTGCGCTTCTGCTGGTAACCCTCCTCTGCCTGACAATCACAGCAGCAAGCCGAGCTGTCAGAATTATATTCCTAAGTGAGCTAAAGGTTGCAACGAAAGTCATACACATATTGTCGTAAGACAGCTAAGTAACAAACTAGTGGGCTTATAACTTGCGAATGTTAACACCCCAGGAAACAACTCCATGAAATCGGTGAGAGACCTTATTTGTAAAACCAAATGGAGACTCTTGCCTCTTCGGCCTGATCCTAGTCAAACTTCATGCTGAAACATATTGGCAACGCTGTGAGACAAGCGAGCATGCTTCCGAGCAAGGTTCTTCTAGACCCTGAACAACGCGGACTTCCTGCAAACCCATGAACCTGCGTAAGCCCTAAAGCAAATGTTTTAAACCCTGACTTCTGCAACTACATCTGAAAACTAATTTTCACTTGGCCCAGACTCCTCGAGGTCCTTCCATGCTTGCTTGAGGAAGCAAAGGCCGAGAGGAGACATCTTGGTCAAGACTCGGAAGAGCCCCAGAGGCCTAAAGTTCAGGGTGCTCAGGCGCACCGCTTGGTTGTTAGGGCTTAGGACTCAACCTTTTTGTCTGCAAGGTTTGGAGAGAAGGTTTTTGGGTCAAGGTCTAAGGCTTCCAGTTTCAGAGATTATAGGGTTTAGGGTGACGAATTGGAAGATCGGACTACTTGTTTTGTGGGACCTGGATGTACTAAGGGGTTAGAGAGCCGGCTGAAGTTATTATAGGCCATTACGTCAGTATGGAGAGATTTCATGCTAACAGTCTACAGGGTTCTCATTGGCTGCCGTTCAGGCGCTGGGGTTTAGGGCTCCTAGGGTTCAACCAGTTTCGGATTCAGGGCTGGGTGAAGGCCTAAACCTCAAACCCCGAACTCCAATGAGTGCCCAGGGTCGCGAAGAAGAGGCTCAGCAAAACACGCTGAACGAGGCTGTTATCGATCACCTTCCACAAAGTCTAGAAGCTCGTGCCTATTCACACCTTCTGGCACGCATAGGGCAGATCATAGAAATAAGGAATGCGCCACTCACTCCGCAGGATCAGTAATGCGCACCCAATGAAAAGGACTTGCCTGCATGGACGGAAGAGACCAACGAAAGAAGAAAGCTAGTTGCAGCTTCCGCGATCTGTGATTACCGTCAGAGTTTTCCTGACTACGAAGTAATTATTGGTAGAATCACAAGCAGTACCTACTTTTGATTCTTGGTGTGATTTTAGTCTGACCACTCTCAATCTCAGAACTTTGGAGCTGGCAGAATGGCAACTTTTCATATTGCAATAGCTTGCCAACACAGATGGGGCATGTGCGAAGATCCGTTAAGATTTTCATCCGTGCTTGGTACTAAGCATCCCTTTTTTCATCATGGAAGAAACAGGACCCACGATTATGGCCGATACTTCTCGGGTCCCCTCAAGCAATTGGGGAGACAACAAGAACGCTCCCAAATCTGAGGCTTCCAGGAACCCCTAATTCTCAGAGAACCTGATCTGTGAAGCTCTGTAACCTTGAGGCCTTGAGGAAGGTAAAGACGGTCTTGCGCATGGTCCCACGGAAGGTATCGGCAAGCGGCCGGCTGACCTGACTTTAGTCTTCGGAGGACCTCTAGACTCTACACACGACTAGGAAGCGAAGGACCAGAAGAACAAAAGGCATCATGCAAAACAGTGGAGTCACTGTCGGCAGCCTGTCGATCTTGCCTCGCGTTCCAAAGGACTCGCTCACAATCTTCTGGGCTCCGGATTTAGCGAGCCAGGAGTGGTAAATGATCTTGACCCACATGACGGGGCATGTTAACATACAGTACTTCACCCGGAAGAAGACGTTGCCATCAAGCACGTCCTGCGTGCTTGAATTTAGAGATTCCAGGTGTCGCATCAAAGACTTGGTCGAAGGTATAAGGCTGGAGCTTCCAACCGCCACCTGGGGAGGGCTAAACTATGGCCCCCGCTTTGAGATACCCCTAGATTCTTGTTAATACCTCAATGACCCTTAACCCTGAATCCTACTTCTGAATTCGAAGCCATGACCCCAAAACCCTATTCCTTAAATCCTATCGCTTTTACCCTTCGCCACCTCATGCGCCATCTCGTCCTCAAACCCCTCAGACGCGCGCCCGCTATGCAGCACCAAGGAGTTCATGACATTGGCGGACTCAACAGTCCGAGCAGCTTCTGCGCCTGTTCTAGGGTTTTGGGGATAGGGTTTATAGGGTTTATAGGATTTATAGGGTTTGTAGGGTTTATAGGGCTTCGGGATGCTAAGGGCATAGCGCTCAAACTAGAAGGGCAACTACTCAGCATTCTGCGCTGGAGGTAGCAGTTGTAGACTACTAGTAACAGGAATGGACTCCCTAGAAGGATTATATCATCCACTCGTCAACACGCCTCCAGTAATTATGCGAATACCAGTCTGCAGCTACGAACAAAGCAACTTTTCTGCCTGGAGGACTAACACTGGGAGAGTGCCGGGATTTGCCGGCATGGGCTGAGTGTCAAACCCTTACCTGTAATGTAGACCCATGGTTAACAAACCCCCTCCCCTTAATAGGGATTATGATAGGGATCCTAATATTAAGGCCCTTAAAGTGTGAAGGGGGGAAGAGCACAAAGAGGCTCGAATGAGACTATCCCTTCGAGAGCCCCGCACCTGCTAGCAGAAATATGAAGCACAAGGCCACACACTGACGCCGCTGCATGGCCAAGTATAGTGTGGATTGCACAGGGCTAGTACTAGTAGCTTGGCTTGAGAAATGGCTGCAGGAATCGTTATTGAAACCAGAGCTCTACGCAAACTGCATTAAAGGATCGGGCTGGTAATGCAAGCTGTCGTGGACAAATCTAAGCAGCTTCACGAGGACTCTGAGCTTGGAAGCTCCTAGACAATCAAGTGATAGTTCTACAACGCATTATACTATTGCGACAAAAACTCCTGCATATCAAAACGTGATACCAGTGGTACTCTGCAACTGCAACACACAAGGAGAGCCTGGCTTGAAACTCATTAGGGTGATGACGGGGACGTCTAAAACGGATCCAGGATTTCCAAGGAGGATCTTCCTGCTTCTACACTACATCATCTCTATATACCTTGTATCAGCCCACTTTCCATTTCATGTTCCATTTTTCCATTTGATTCTGTATATCGGGTAATAACCCTAAACACTCCAACAAATAACCATGTGACCAAGCGGCATGATATCCAAAGCAGCCGTAATGGGCATGCTCTGCCACAGCCATGAGCTGAACCGCGTTGTAGCCCATGCGCTTGATGCGCGGCAGCACATTACTGGGATGCGGAAACTGTGAGTTTCCCAACAAGGAGGATATCTTCAGGGTCCTAGCGTGGTACATAGGGGGATCAGGGCTGTCTGCTTGGACGCTTACATGGGCATATTTTGAAAAGGAAAACTTGCATTTCCCTTTTCTAGGGGCGAGAGCTGTGAAACAAGAACTGACCTTTGTTCCTTCTGGTTCGTGGTCTTGCAACTTGCTAGCCTGCAAATGCTCTTTGCAGTTGCATTGTAAAATCAAAGCGTCGCAAAGTAGGAAGGAGCCCACTCTAGCAGGGAAGAACTCTCAAAGGTAGATGCCGTTTCCAATTCATGTGGCTCATGGCATGTTCCACGAAGGTCGCTGGTGGCGCAGACTATGAAGACCATATACCATTGAAGGTCATTATAACAAAGCAGCTGCATGCTATGGGAGCCTTTGGGTTGGAAACTGAAAGTTTTTAGAACTCACTTCTTCCCCACTGCTGCTTCAGGTGAAGGGAACCCTACATACACGCAGAACCAGCCCTCAACCTCAGAACTAAAGGGAGTAAAATGCAATCCCAAGCCGTCAACCCCAATAATATAGTAGGAACAAAGTGGGGAAAAAGGACAACAGTAGGTATATTCCTGTTATATTCCTACAATATTCTTGCGGTTCCCTGTTTTGGGGGTCCCCTTTTACTCCCCCTAAACCCTAAACCCCAAACCCTAAACCTTAAACCCCAAACCCTTAACCCTAAAGACTGCTAGGCCGGGAGTCTCCGCAAACTCGACATAAGTGGCCACCTTGGGCTCCACGGATCCCATACCTGGCAACCAAAGTTTAGGCTTAGGGTTTAGGGTTTAGGGTTTACGGTTTAGGGTTTCAGGTTTAGGGTTTAAGGTTTAGGGTATGTGAGGGGTTTGCGTAGGGGATGTTTATGTGTAGAGTTGCATAAAAATCCATAGAGCTTGGGGTTTGGGGGATGCGTACTGCTTAGGGTTCAATTAGAGAGGGGGTTAGTGGGTTTCTGGGTTGAGGAGTTTCAGGTATAGGTCTTAGCGTTTCGGGATAGTACAGGGCACATGCTTTAGGGAAGTTTGAGGATTCGCCAATCTGACTTCCAGAAATTCCCTTCATGAGGAGAATCCAAGCAGGGGGTGGCCCACCCAAGCAACCCAAATAGGGAGCCTTCTTTCATGACGTTTTTTGGGCTGCTGGTAAGGAGCTTAAACTAAACTACCATATCATGGGTCTGTAGGTAGTAAATATAGGGTTGCTGTATCATGGTAGTTTCATTACAGTTCCTCGTCAGCAACCCAGGCTTCTCCAGATATCAAGCTATGGTCATTATTACACCTTGGACCCAGATAACGTTATGAATTCTTGCTCAAGATGGTTTTGGCAGGTACAACAATAAAGCCTGCGGGGGAGTGGTCCCATCTGCAAGTTTCCCACCCGTATAATACATATATACATATATTTTTGATATATTTATATGTATATATAACATCTTCATCAAACACTCTTACCTTCCCTCTAAACAATCACAAATCCTCAGAAACCTCTTTTCACCTGACCTTGAGACTCCCGAATGGTTTCCCCAAAGCCCTGCGATGTACGGGTCGAATCAACAAACTCTTCCTTTGCTGGGCATGCCAGGTTTACCGATAGGGGCGAGTATGGGCATTGTGAATTGTGCATGGAAACTGAATACTTTAGACAAGGTGTTTAGTGTTGAGGTAACTCACCTTATAGTTGTACGGGGGTCAGAAACGAGCAGAAATTGCTGTTCTCCTCCTGCTGACCTGAAGACCCTGCTCAGCAGCAGAAGTGTGTTATGTACAAGGCTCCCATTCCGGTCCCCCACACAGGCAGTTATTCGTTTGTGCGGAAGGCAAGCAGGACATAGCTTGCGTACGGATTACAGGCACCATTGGTAAATTGATTAATAAATTTGCTCCCACATGGATACTGGAAAAGACAATGGTATTGGGTTATAGAGGAGATAATGAAAAAATGGAAACTACTCTGAGTACAGTAGGGCTGAGGGTCATACTCCAGATCAAGCTTGCTAGCCCAAAAAATTGGAGGTTTTAGCGGACGAAAACAAAGGCTGAAGCCCAAAGCCTCAGGATAACCATTCTCCTTACTTACACTGCAAAAAACACATGTTGAAACGTAAAAAAACTTCTTGACTGGGATTCCGGAAATGCACATTTGCCTGGGAAACAGGCAAAAGCACCAGTCTACAATCATTTCAAGCTCACCAAGCTAGTCAGTACCCAGTGGAAGTACGGGTGAGCTCTCAAGCCCGCACCTCGACTCCTAGAAGCCCGGCCCAAGCACACGCCTACGTGCGCTTCGTAGATCTTGAGGTTTGCGGGCTTCTCCGGTCGGGCATGCTTGAAGCCTTGGCACTGAAAGCGTCACGTCGGGAGTGCAGGCTTCTTCCCAGGTCCTATTTAGCTAAGACAACGCTTCCTGAGTCGAACAAGGAACTTCAATTTGGGAAGCTTCAACCCAGGGCTATCTGTAAAAAGGAGTCGCTGAGACCTGAAAAGCTGTGCTGAATCATTTTGACCCCAGCAGATGCCAGACCACTCTGCTTATACAGGTGAATGGCGCTCTTCTCAATCCTTACACTCCTCCCTAAATGCATCCCTACCCCATAACAAGCTTTCCCACACAGCCGAAGTAAAGAACAAATGTTCTGTTTCGTGGGCCAACGCTGAAGGAAGCTATGCAACAGGCAATGAGCAGCTTCCGAAAAGAATTGCAGCACAGTCTCTGTACTGCTCCTCCTGCGGAGGCTCCCAGAAGACGCCGTTGAAAAGGTTGGTGCCTGGCTTTGTAGCCCAGCAGGTGCAAACAAGGTGCCTACAATACTTGCGCCCAAAGAAAATTTTCGTGTGGGTGCTGGGGTGTCAAGTAGACAGCAGACATCAGACATGTACTCGGATTTGAAATATCACCGTGGGCAATTCTTCAGCCGAAAGCTATCGAGGATATGTTGGAGCTTTTCTGGCAAGACAGAAAGGCCTTCACACATTGCAAAAAGTTTACCAAACAAAGTGGGGTGCGTTGCTGCCTTAAGACATATGTAGACCCTGTAGTTATAAGTTAGGTTGGGGCTTTAGGGTGCCCATGGTTTGCCACGGATGCTGAAGGTTGCGTGAAAAGCCTCCAAACAACCCCGAACAAGGGCAACCATGCTGAGAAATCTGAATCCCAAACCCTGGCCTGAAAACTCAATGAGACCTTGAGGAATACCTATGAAGCCCAGAGAGGCCTTATCCACTCATATCCTAGCACTAAACCCTAAACCGTACACCCCGAACCCTGAACCCTAAACCCTGAACCCTAAGCCCTAAACCCCAAACTCGCAAAGGGTAAAAAACGCTTCGGTTTGGGGCCCCGGCTGTGATCCTGCCAGGCCACCTTGGTCCTGGTTTATTCAGGGTTTAGGGGTTTAGGCTTGGGGTATAGGGGTTTAGGGTTTAGGGGTTTAGGGGTTTAGGGTTCAGGGGTGGAAAAGAAAATGGAAACTACTTAGGGTGTAGGGTCTAGGGGCAATAATAGGAGTTATTTCAGGGTAACAAGGGTGATATAGGGGTATGTGTAAAAGCCAATGGCCGAGAGCCTAGCTCCAGTAACGCTTTACTCCAGAAATCTGCCAATATCAAGTATTGATTCTCCACATATGTTAACCCGGAACCCTCAACCCCTAAACTCTAAACCCCAACACCCCTAAGCACCTAAACCCCTAAACCCTAAAACCCTAAGCCCCTAAACCCCTAAAACCCTAAACAGCCCGCAGCTAGAGCTCAGGGCTTCTTGGTCGTCAATTTACAGCGTTAGCTTTAGCTTGGCCACGGTTTGTTTAGGGTATAAGGGTAATAATGGGGTAGTAACGGGGGTAATAATAGTTGGTAACAACAGGGGTAACAATAGGGGCAACGGTAGTAGTAGGGGTAATAATGGTGGGTAACAATATTGGTAGTAATCGGGGTAATAATAGGGGTGCTAGGTGCGGATCACAGCTTGCAGTCGATTGGTTTGGGCTGAGCTCGGTTCAGCGTCTCTCGCTACAACGTCTCAGCCAGGGTAAGGCCTTCCCGTGGCGCTACTTGATTGGTCTGCTTTTTTAGGTCTGCATTTGCAAGATCGCTTTGACTGCCGAGCATTGCGAATCACTAGCGGTGGCTACTCACTGCATACAGCTACAAACACCAAAGCCAATAGCTTAGTAGTCGTTGTAGTGGTGGATTGGCACTGCCTGTTCTCTGAAGACCACCGTTATTGCCAGAACCGTCCAGATGGCACTCAGGAGAGCACTATTCCCGGGGAATTCAAACCTTGGGCTGAGATTCCAGGCTGCCTTTTACATTTCTGGGCCGCCATCACCACAGATTTCCCAAACAAAAGACCGAATCACTAAACCTCTGACATCCAAACCCTGAATCTTAAACCCCAACATCCTAACCCCGCACCCCAACTGCAGTCCATGCAGGGACACGGTCGTGCCAGCTGCCATCATTGGCCTCCACTCGAACCTGGTTCCAGACGCGCTTCTCGAGAAGTTCGCGGACAGAGTACTACGCGACTATTGAGGTATGAGTTTAAAGCTCTGGGTTTAGGGGATGGCTTGGAAAAATAGGATTTAGGGGGCGAGTTTATGGATTCGGGCTTTAGGTTGTGCATCTAGGGTTGTTTAGCTTGAGGGTGCTAATGGACTAGAATTTTCATGCGCTACTACGGAATACGGACTGTACGGACTCAGATGTCAACAGCCTTCAAAGTAAGGCCTGCGTTTTTAGGTCTTTGGTTCAGGGCCAAGGCTCATCACGATCTAGGGTCAGGTGTCTGAAGAATCTCTCGTAAGCATGTTTTCGGCGGTGCCCAAGGCCTCGACCACTCATTTCTAACCCCCTCCCGAAGATGCAGGAATGTACCCGCTTTGCATAAACCTGTCTTTGATAGCATGAAAGGAGATAGATGGTATATGATCAATACTGCTAGGGCGCTTTGCTTGGTTCGATTTAGACGTGCGGAGCTATGCTGCGCAAGAAGGTCGGGTCAGGAACTGGTGAAGCCCACCCTCGGGTATACATGTTACCGGCTACAGGGTGGTGGGTTCAATGCCCCATTGCAGGCCTTGGAGGTCCATAAGGCCCCTGGAGCTTTCGGAGCCAACACGGTTCGCAAAAAATCCCTCCCAGGCTCATTGGGCTCGAACTTTGACAGTGCCCTTAAACGGCGACGTTGTTGAATCGGAAGGTAGATACAGTATCAGCCAACTTGCTGTGCGTATGTCAAGAGATGTTGGCGGCTCACACGACAAACCCAAGGAAGAAAGACAATGTATCGGAGCATGTGTGAAATGCAATCTGCCTGTACAAGGCATTGCTTCAGCAATAGCTGCCTGTCTTGCCTTTGAGTTCTCGCGGGACAAGCAAAAGGACAACGCATCGGTCTATACTCCTAATGTACTGTACGCACTGAACAACCCTGCATTCAAGATATTGCATCGCGTCTTAGAGCTGAGGCTCTCAGCCATGTTGACCAGTAATCTCCTCCCCGAAATATTATACCCCCACCCCCTAGTATCAAATACTCCAGTTGTGGTATATTTTAATATATGGGGAATATTCCGTTTTAGGGCGGGCGGGGTTTTTGACATTAGGGGGAGGAGATTAGGTATCATCCGGCCTTCAGCTGGGTCTTGTGAAGAATGAAAGGGCTTCCATCCTCCTGGCCAAAAGCTGCATGTGCAGGAGCTTTAGGGCTTAGGGTTTAGGGATTTAGGGTTTATAGGGCTTCGGGATTTAGACTTCAGAGCTTTAGGGTTTAGGGTTTTGAAGCCTTTATAAGTTTCAGGAACAATGCCCAATGTATAGAGGCGCGCCTAAATTCCAGGAATATTTGCGAACTTCTACTGGAGGCTTTTAGCATCCTATAAAACTTTTGGGCCGAAGGAGCTCTCATTTGTGGCTTTGTTCTTTGGAGATTTCCGGCTTGCATTACTATTATTATAAGTACTACTATTACTATTATACTTCCTACTCCTTTCCTTATTCTCAGTTATTACTATTACTATTAACCCTGGACCCTAATGTTACCCACACCCCTCCCTATTTGCCCGCAGCATATAATCCTTTCAGAGACTCAGAGAAGGCCCATCCTGATCTCAACTCTCTGCCTCCGCCCGAACTTACGGGGGTTACTAGGGAATCAGGAAGTATTGTATGTATGGGGTTTAGGGTTAGTAGGAAATAAGAAAAACATTATATAGGAAACATATGGGGATTAGATTCCGGTATTCCCTACTAAGAACCAGTAAGCAAACAACTGCAAGAGGCCCTGCGCAGGGTTCCTTAGAGTGTCTCCTTTGCCCTCCTCTACGCTCATCTCATTCCAACGCTTGCACTCAGAGAGACATGCAGGAGAAGAGCGGTTCTGAGAAGCATCATCTGAGCTACTGTCTAAAC